TAGGACATGTGACATCGGGACTTAGTTAGGATTAGCATTGGAGTTTCATTACTGTTATTGTGTTTTGGAAATATTAATATTTTATTTTGTCAACATTTCTATATTGGACTACAATTTGTGAAATATGAATGTGAATTCTCTATCTATGTGTTTTGGAACCTTGTTTTGATTAAGAAAGTTTTATTTACTAAGGAATTTACTTTATATTTATTGTGTATTATGTATGTGGGGTAAAGGGTGTCACATTTAGTGGTATTAGAGCCAGGTTGATTCAAACCGGATGTGTGTTATGTGCTTATTATGATTCTATTGTGTACTCTGAAAATGTTTTGCTTGTTATGTACTTTGATGATGGTTTGCTTTGTAATGATGATGATGATGATGTTTTCTTTGTTATGTTGTTGTTGTTGTGCTTAATTGGGTGTTTTTCTTCTCGAAATATGGTTGGTAGACATGATATAACTGAACTGATGCTATTTATGATTATTTTTCTTCATTCTCATGATTGCTTAATTATTTTGATACTTCTTGCTTATGTAAAAAGTAGTGTTTGGGTGATATCGCTCGTGTTGTGAGCATATTACCAAGTAGTAGTGGATGAAGCATTGTGCTAATCAACTAGAAACTATTGGAACCTTGGATTTGGTTGAGACATTGATTTGTCGAAGGTATTAAGTGTCTATGGTTGATGGAGTTTCTGTCGGGTAAAGGATTGGGGCCAATCCTGCTATCAAACATATCAATTATTGAAATTGAACACATATCCACATTCAAAATCACACAAGGAATGCAACAGAAAAATCAGAAAATAAAATAAAACATTTATTAAATGTCTGATCTTATAGACATACATTAGGCAAAGGATTGAGAGCCAATTCTGTTATCACACACATTTAGAGTTTAAGGTTTATCGAATCAAGATATCAAAAATTGATAAGAATCTTAGATTGAGTCAACATTTAAAAGTCATATTTCGATAAACCTCATTTAAATAAAATAAATAAATAAAATTTCGTATTCCATAATCGCATGCGCAAGGAGAACAAATCAGTAGATTTGCACTATAACAGATCTACGAAGTCCATTCTCATGTGCATGAGTGCATCACCTCTTGCTTGTCTTTTTTGAAAGTGTAAGAAATACTTTAATATATAAACACTCAAAATTTACTAGGTTCAAACAATGTAAATATTCTTTAAAATACACTTTCTATATTTATACACATGGTAATTTACTTAGTAATCTTTAGATAGTCCTCCATCCAACCAATGCATAAGAAATCGGGTCGACCCTAGGCCTTGATTGCAGGGGCAATTGCCCAAGGTCCATAACCAATAGGTTTTTTTGTGTGTTGAAAATGTACAATTGTGCTATAATTTTTTATATTATTTTTAAAAATAAATTAAATTTATCATTTTTTATATATTTATATTTAAAATATAAAGTGATACAATTATAATGTCTTGTTAACTTTATTGTAATTTTTTTTATGTATTACATTTATAAAATTGTAAATTATATTTTCAATCCCTTTAAATTTTTTCAAGTTTGATTCTAGTTTCTCAATTTATTTTTGTCCTTTTAATTTAGAGATGCATTACTTTTGATCTTTAAACTTATTTGTAAAATATTTTATAATAAATTATTGTATAAAAGTAAATTGACTAAAAATATATTAGTATATCTATTTTATATTTGTTAACATTGTTATTTCTTTGGATGATCCACATCTTAGGGTCAGGCCCCGATGAGCACATTGAACTATCCATGCGGCTAAAAGACCTCATAGTCCAGGCACAACGATGCAATTATCAAGGGCGCGCTCTACCACTGAGCTAATAGCCCGTTGTGTGGGCCTCTTGCCGGGGCTCGTTATGCCAAAAGCAAGAGAAACCCATCCTTCTCTTTAATAAAACATGTTGTATTCGATCAAAAGTTTAATACATTGTTTAGTTTATGATGTTTTTGAAAATTTTTATTAGGTCTCAAAACTAAAAAAAATTATAATCGAGTCATTCACTTTTTTTTTCTTCGTAATTTAATCCTTAGGACTAGAGATATGTTTACATTTTGTGAAATATGACATTTTTTTTTATCTTTATATTTGTCAAGTCTTCTTGAATTATTATCATATATAATCATGCATGTTTAATGAATTTTAATCTACCTATAAGATTTTCATAGTCTCGTTAATCGTAACAATTCTAGATTAGTAGAAATTTTAACCAATGAAGTTTGAAACTTAATACAAATAAATGATGATATTCAATAATAATCTAATATAATTAATTGAGTATAAGGAAATAAAAAATATTATGTCAAATTAAATATCATGAATTATAAACCAATCTCTAATAGTAAGGACTAATATAAAAATATGAAACACCAAATTATATTTTGTTTTTAATTTAAGACCTAATTCAAAATTCTCAAAAACATTCATAAACCAAATAATATTTTAAGTCTCAATTAAATTATGTATCCATTTTTATATTATAAATATGCACATTTCAAATATTATTATTTAGGTTAAATTATAATTTTAGTCATTTATCTTATTTATTGGATTCATTTTAGTTCTTTGTCTATTAAAATATTTTTTTTTATCGTTTATCTTTTATATTTGGATTAATTTGGTCCTTTTTAAAACAACAATAATTTTTAATTTTGTAACTCAATTTTGAATCAATTTTTGATTGATTTGAGACATGCAACTTGTAACAATAATTTCAACTATATAAAAGTTATAAAATTTAATTGACATTTGAATTCATAAGAGATATAATATAATAAAAATCGTGTAAAAAATTTTCTAATGAGAAACTAGAAAATAGTATGAAATTATAGTTTTTGAAATTTCAGTTGCCTTTTAGACTTGTTATGTAATTTTAATCCAAATTTAAGAGATAAAAGACCATAATAAACATTTTAAAAGATAAAAGACTAAAATAAATCTAATAAATAAGTTAAAATATCAAAAATATAATTTGGTCTATTAATTATATATAAGAGCTCAAATTTATTGTTTCACCTAATATTTATAAAATGTCAGGACGAGTCCTGATAAGAAAATTTAAGCAGTGCATATTAATTATTTATTTGTTATCCTTATGAACATTTGTCTTATAAAAGATGATCAGAACAAGATGAAAAAGGTGAGTTATGTCCACTAATAATGAGATAAGGATTAAGAAATGGAGTCATGATATATAAATCTCTATATATTATTTCACCTAAAATTTATAAATTGTCAGCACCAGTCTTAATAAGAAAATCTAAGTAGTGCATATTAATTATTTGTTGGTTATCCTTATGAACATTTGTATTATAAAAGATTAAGAAATAGTTTTGATATATAAGTCTCTCAATCTATCATATATCCCATCAACACATTATTTTTTTTTCTATATTTTTCTTTTCTCCGCACATCAATGATACTTTTTTTCTCAATAAAGCCTTTTAATATTAACCGAATGCGATAGCTGGCCATCGAGCCCAATTGACCTAAACGAAATGGACACTCTGGCAGGCCAAGCGCGTTAGGAAAGGCCCAAGTTGGATGAAGGATTTTAACTAGGCTTAGTTATTTTCTTTTCAAATAATTTTGTTGTGTTTTTATCTTCCGTATAATGTTCCCGTTATGTTACTACATGATTGAGATTTGATATATATATATATATATATATATATATATATCCTCCTATCTAGGCCCTAGCTATATCCACACGAGTGAAATGAAAGCTGTAGGCTGTTCCCTAGAAACGATACCTATATATGCAATTCCCCTCAAAGTTACCTTCTTCTCCTATCCTATTGCTTT